TGAGCTCGACAAGTACTTAAGAAATGATGTCCGGTTCCAACTGAAGCCAGCATGAGCAGTCAGGTCCCGTCGAGTTTGGACAAATATTTCAAGCTCCAGTTTCGCTTCACTTCACGTCGTGCCCAACAACACCCCCTAACCGCATGGCCTTAAGTGGCATATTACGTTATTTTTATGTACTGTAAGTTATAACATCTTTTGATTTGTGTTAGTTTTTTTAGGAACATTAATCTATTGCTTTATTTCTATCTCTCTCTCCTATGTGTAGCCATCCCTGCAGCTGACCTTTCTGAGCAGATCTCCACAGCGGGGACAGAAGCTTCTGGAACAGGAAACATGAAGTTTATGCTGAACGGCGCACTGACAATCGGCACCATGGACGGGGCCAATGTGGAGATGGCAGAAGAGGCCGGAGAGGAGAACCTCTTTATCTTTGGCATGAGGGTGGATGATGTGGAGGCACTAGATAAGAAAGGGTAAAAGAAAAAGCAGAGGAAAGACTCAGTTGAGCTGTATGAACCTAGCTACAAGATGCACTAGAGGCTATATTGATGTAGCTGAATATGTACTTACATTTAGCGCCTATTATTACAGCAAACACGTTTTTATCGGCTTTCAGAGTTGTTTCAAATGCAGTTTTATATTGTTCTTTATCTTTATCTACCCCTCATCAGCTATGATGCTGTTGAATACTACAATCGTATCCCAGAGCTGAAGCAGGCCATGGATCAAATTTCCGGAGGATTCTTCAGCCCCAGCCAGCCAGACCTCTTCAAGGACATTGTCAACATGCTAATGCATCATGACAGGTCAGAACCACTCCCCTCGGGCTGGAAGCCATATTAATTATGAATGGCTCCTCTGTTGCATGTGAAGCTTCTTAGAGTAAGAATGCTTCTTCTGTACAAACTTTGTCAAAATAACTAAAAACAAAAAGAAGTCCTAGAATGCCACAGTATCTTTTATTCTTCTAGTTTCTTTGTCATTCATCTTGTCTTTCATCTGTTCTCTTCACTAATCTCATTGTCTATCCACTGATCTCATTTTCCAACATGGCATGAGGAAACTCATTCTTGGTCTGTAACTGCACTGCATTGCCTTTTGTGATTCTCTTTTGCAGGTTCAAAGTGTTTGCTGACTATGAAGATTACATCAAATGCCAGGAGAAAGTTAGTGCTTTGTACAAGGTTAGTGTACAGGAGTTATCCTTACACAACTCATCTCTCCCAAACAAGTTCACTGCAGTTTAACTCTCTGGGGTTTAGAGTTATGCTTTACTTCAAGCTGCATGATGTAAGACTGCTTGTTAATATTGAAAGGAGTAGCATTACTGGGTCAGGAGGAAAAAAGCACACTAAAATATGTTGTCTGTGCACTGCTGTGAATGAACTTTATATTGATGAAGATTTAACAATAGTACATAATAGTACATGCTCAGATGACATGTACCAAGTTTTGACCAAGTTCTCTTTGAATACTCCTTTAACATGCTTGCAATCATCAGATTCACCCCGCAACAACCAACAATACAAAAAGTTCTTCTATACATTACGTGAAATTACACATTTCCACCAGAGAGGTCGCCAAATCACCCAAACTTATGTAGTGTAGGTTTAAGTTTTATCTTTGTGGTACCATTCAGTATTAAACTGAAATCAATATGTTTTTTTTTCAGAGAACAACTGAAAACTTGTTTGCGCAGTTAAGTTTGAGTTTGCACAAAAGGTTGGGGTGGGGTAGAGTTTGAGGATGGGGCTGAGGTTGAGGTTTGGGTAGAGTTTTAGGTAGGGGTTGACGTTGAGTTTGGAGTAGATTTTGTGCTAGGAATTGAAGGTGAGGTAGAGAAAGAGATGGGGTAGGGGCAGAGTTTGGGGTAGGAGTAGAGTTTGGGGTAGTGGTTGAGGAAGGGATTGGGGTAGGGATTGGGCTTGAGGTAGGGGCTGAGGTTGGGATTGGGCTTGAGGTAGGGGCTGAAGTTGGTATAGGGGTTGAGGTTGAGGTTGGGGTCAGTGTGGATGACACACTCAAAGAGGATTGAATATAAATTGTGATTTAATTAATCTGTTTTAAACCCGACTTAATTATTTATGTTGTTATACAAACAGAACCCTAAAGAATGGACCAAGAAGGTGATCCACAATATTGCTGGATGTGGCAAGTTTTCCAGTGACCGTACCATCTCCCAGTATGCCCGTGAAATTTGGGGTGTGGAGCCCAGTTTGGAGAAGATTGCCGCCCCAGACGACCCTCGCTAGGCATCTAGCCAGCATGCAGGAGCTCCATATGCTATGGATCCATTCTCGCATCCGGTTCATTTCTCCATTGTGAAGATATGTCTGCCATTTGTGGTTCTGTCATTGTTCGGTTATGTAAGAATTGTCCTGTGGGACAGCAGAGGTACCTCATGCCACTTGGTTCACTGGTTTCACTCGCAAAAAAAATGAAATGTTCTGCTCTCTGTGTGGTGTCTTTAAATGTGTGTGTGTGAGAATGGCGCTTTTTAGTCATGCTGACTGGTACGACCAAACCAGATGAACCAAAACCCTGCTTTACCAGCAATATTACCCATCTGCCCAAGCATAGATAGAAAGCTAATTGTTTAGTGCAATATGTTATGCTGTAATAGTACTATGTCTTCCTGTCATGAACAAAAGAACAGAAAGAAGGCCAGTTATGATGAATAACATACACAAATTCGAGCACTGTGACATTACGGAGGTTTGCCACTGAGGGTTAACTCTATCAGCGTTTCATATCCATCCACAAGGATGACTGTTATGGGCATGGACTCACTTTGTTGTGCAGTGTTTCTGCTCAAGATTTGGTATTTACAGGCTTTTCTTGAACGTATCACACAAACTGACATATTTTCTGGTTTAAACACAGTTGTTTTACACGAGTATTGATATGACAAACAGTAATAGTCCTGGAGTTTTTTTATCGGTGTCTGTCCTGTCCTCCTACTGCCTTCTCCCCTACACTTCCTCTACGTAACACACATACAAAAACTGCCTTATTGTGTGTATGTGCGTGGAAGCATGCATATGTATGTGTGTTGTTATCCGTATGCAAATGTGAGAGAGCTTGTTATTTTCATCTACAACTTCCTCTCATCCTTCCTGGTTCTCAGCCTACACTTTGGAAAGTGAGTCACTTTAATGATGTTAAACCTTTGGCCCAGATCACGCACATACCCAGTATATGGCCTATTAATCTGCTTTTGTCCATAGACTACTGCACTCGCACTCGAGTTATAGAGTAAGATAGAATATTATAGAATATATTAACGACTACTGCAGAAGTTGTTTAAAGCTGTGTAGCAAATTGTTTCCGCTGGAGAGCTGTGGTATAATACACTGTGTCAGTAGCTGATGAGTCATGACTGACCAAGAGAACACTGTAGTTAAACTATATTAAGAACAGATTAGTGAAGAGAAAGGAATAAGTTATAATATATATACGGTTGTAGCCATGTCCCTCTGTAATCCATTCTTTGAATGTTCTTCTGTGTTTGTGGTTGCTGACAGGTCCCACAACACAGTCCAACTGCTATCATTGGAAACAAATAAAAAATAAAGATGATATAACCATATTACACAAACCTACTGCCTCTCTATTATTATTTATAGTACAGAAATTATAAATTAACGTAATCTAAACAAGTTAACGGCCTTGTTAGAATATACCAATCTATGGGAACTCCACAGATTATTTAATCAATAGAACGTCTTAAATGTGTCCATTTTCTGTTTGTGCTAAAGTAAGAAGTAAAAACGTTCAAATGACTTGAGCGTCTCCTTCAGCCGTCAAAGTCGTTGCTTAGCAACGGCGTCTCAGCGGAGTGATACAGTGTTTGTGAAAAAAACGTGATGTTATGGTGAAATAACAGCATGGTTAGAACACTTCTCAGCCAATCAGCTTGCGTGTCCGGAACTAACTGTTGTATAATGAAAAGTTAAGCATGACTCAGACAAAGTCTTTGAGAGTGTTTTGACGTGAAATACACCACTGTACAGAAACTTCCAGACTCAGAAATGTTCACAGTGGTGGTGCATAAAAGCTACCTCAGAAAATTATTACACAAAAGGTTTACAAATATATTGCCTGATGCTTAAGACGTTTTAACAACTGTTTTGTGATAAGATTTTGGCCTTTTAAAGTATATTTATGATGGACTGGTACATACAGGATGCCTAAGGGCAAAACAGCCCTAAAGAAAACGTACCATTAGCACTATTTTACCATTATCAGCATTACATACAAAGACTCACGTTTAGGTCCACAGGTCTTTTTTGATTGAAATAAAATTGATATTGCGACCCTTGGTTCCTATGACCACTACTGTAAAGTGAATTAGCAAATGTGAGAGAACTTAACCAATTAACCATTTCACATCAAAACACTTCGACTGAATTTTGTTTTCGTCTCAATTCTCACATTTTTAAAAATCGGTGTCATTCCCCTTTAAGCTGTACCCAGCTCTTTATTACCCCGCTACGGTAGGTGGCAGCATCCACCTCAAAAGTGTTGCACTAGAAATTCTCGGTTGCTGTCAGGAAGGGAGTCTGCGGTAGTGATAGACCGTTCGAGTCATTTGAGCGAGCCGACTCTTTCGAACTATGCGTTTCAGTGAAGTCAAAGCCCGATTCAGTGATTCATTTTCTAAATTGTTCGATTAAATTCTCACCTCCTCCACATACAACATTCGCTGTGTCTACTCTCTAAACGACTCGGAGGAAACAAAGTGTAGACACAAAACTAAGAGAAACTCAGTCTACAGAGAGAAAATGTAAGCAAATTCAGAGTTATTCTTAGTATGTCACACGTGACCATATTTTATGTGACAACGTTTAAAAAGACTGCCATTCTAATTCTGCAAAATATTAATCTCATAACAGATACATAAAACCGTACTCGATTCGGTTGCGACTTGTGAATCGAACAGACCGATTCATTAAAACAAGGACCGATTCAAAAGAACGACTCCTTCACGAGTCGGACATCTCTAGTTAGTGTCCACAGCAGGGCAGGCATCAGCCTTAGTAGTTCGATCTGCCCGGCAGTGTTTGTTTGTAATTCTTGACTCTAAGCGTCAGTGGGCAGTAAAATATGGCTGAGCGGGTCGTGAGATGGTTTTCTTGAGACGCGGTGACGCACATTGCTGGCATAGGAGGAGACGTGAACCGGGAAGACTTTAAAATCCCACCAGTCACAAGACTGCTGCTGTCTGCCTGCCTGCCTGTATGCGTCTGGCTGTCTCAATGCCGGAGCGGTGCTGAACCTGTGACTTCCTCACACTTTCTCTCATAAAAGGTATGTATTTCAGCTTAAAGAGCACGGCTTTCTTTTTCAAACTCAGCTGTTCACAACTACAGCCACGATAAGTGTTCCAGTCATTCGAGTTAACCTACCTTTCCTAATCTCAGGCTGCGTATCTGCTGTCTTTAGCTGTCAGAATCAGATAATGTGCAGAAACTCCTCTCGTTTGCTCTGAAACAGCGTGTCATAGTCGAGTATAAAGTTAGATGACATTACATAAATTTAACAAACAAAGTATTAAGTTTTCCACGAGGCTGAACCTGGCTTCCACAGCTTCTTTTTCTATTTACCGTTCCACCTTAAACGGTGCAGCAGTTGCTCTCTGGCTGTTTAGGCGCCAGAATGTCACTGCTGCACCATTTAAGGTGGAACGGCGAATTGGAGTAAAAAGCTAGTTTATCGCACATTTAGGCAGTGCTACCACTAACAGCAGTGTGCTTGAGTGCTGTAGACTAATGTGTCAGCTGCTGGCCCTAATCCACTCTCCTCTAGTCGCACCAGTAAAAGTCGAGCAATAAGAATTTGTGTACTTCGTCATTCGTTGTGAATGTGCCAAGTCGGTGTGAAGGAGATCTTGATGTTTTAAGTGAGTGACGTTTCATTACCTCACTGTGCTTCAGAAGGGCTCAGTCTGTAGACCACGTAATGTGAGACAATGTATGTATAAAATGTGTAGTTATAAAAAGTATGTAATTGCAAAAATGCATGACTTTATTTATTACATGATTCCTGTTTGATTGTTTTCTTGCTGTACTGTTTTTCTTTTTTCCCTTTCTTTTTGTTAAATAACCGTTTTCAGCATGTTCAGTCTTTGTGGTTTATTTACGTGACTTGTGATTTCTTTTAACATGTCTTCGGCTTCCCTGCATGGCACAACCAGAGCGGATGGAGAACGGTGGCTTGTGTAAGCAGGGCTCCAACAGCTCGGACGATGAGTTGGTGGATCTGACCAGAGCAGAGCAGGACCTTGCCGAGGATGAGCCTTACTTGGACCAGGACCAGACTGCAGGTACGAGTCCAGAGCCAGTAGTTATCTTCAGTCATTTAGCCTTTGATGTATGAGCACTAAAAATGACTGGGAGTGTTCAGTTCTTCAGTCGTGACATTGTCGGTTTGTGATGGTTGTTGTTCGACCACTTTTGTTCTAGTCATAGAATATAGGTACAGTTGTAAGAATAGATTGAGTCTTATGTGATCTCTATCTGAGCAATGAACATTTATAGGAAAAGTGGAAAAAGTAGGAAATGCAGACACTCTGGTGTTTTCTAATAGAGAAAAGGTTGGCAAGTTTTTGTCATGATCAAAGAATACAAGTATGGTGGCATAGCAACCAGAAGAATAAACTCAGATTATTTACCCACTCATGTCCCAAAAAGTGTCTTACCTTTGGTTAATGTGTTTGGTAACACTTTATTTGGATAGTCTACTTTCAGTGCTTTTGATACTTAATTGTAGCACGTCATGCGCTACCCTGTGCACAAGGAGGACGCTGGAGGCAGGAGTGTCGCAGCAGCCATTATTTTAATTTTCACTCCAAACAAAGACACAAAACAAACAGCAAAAACCTAGCCGAGCTGGCCACCTTTCAGTGGCTTCAAGGAAGAGTCCTTCATTACTGGAGCTTTTCAGCTCTTCACTCTGTCGTCATCGCTGCTGCTGCTCGTCCCTCTCTCTCTATGTTTCCTCTCAGCTCTTTTTAAAAGGCACTCATGCCAACCAGATCAGTATCAGCTGCCTCTCATTAAGGGCAGCCTGAGCACCTGAGCCGAGAGGGAATGAGAGCTCATTCCTCCGCCTCCTCGTCACCACCCCCGCTCCGCAGCTCGTCCGCCTGGATCAAATGTGAGTTGTAGTGAAGCGACCTCACTGTGGAACATGGGGCGGGGCCCGGGCGGCGGGGTTCGGGGATCGCTTCCTGCTTTCGTGCCACTTGTGGCCATCATTGTCGTCCTCCCCTCTCTGGCAGCTGACGTCCTCTTCCCGCCATCGGTTCTCTCCCCGCTGTCCTTGCGGGACTTCGTCCTCGCTCGGTGTTTGGGCCCCGCCTTCCTGCAGGCTCTCACAACCGTCATCGGGACCCGGGGGCCTGGTGCATGCCACATTAATTTGCTTTCAGCTAAATATCTATTAAATTTACCATCATTCTCTCTAAACCTGGCTCTAATCCTAACACCAACCTTAACCTCAACCCAAAACCTAAACCCAGCACTCACCCTGGTCCAAATCTTAACCCAAACCCCACCACTGTTTAGAATGAAGTAGTTTCAACAGATAGTTTGTTAACAATTTGAACATCCTGTAGATAATCTATAGGGGTCTATAGTGGACTATCCAAAAAAAGTGAGACCACTTATTTTAGGTCCTGTTAACTCAAAAATGCAAGGCAGCCTGGTTACAAATCTTTTTATAGAAGTTTTTTTTTTCTTTTTTTATATATATATATATATATATATATATATATATATTATTATAAGTTTTAAAAATATTAAATATAAAAATAAAATTATAAAAACTTATAAAAGCTTTTAGTGATATAGTTTGATTGAGTAGTTTGTGATTGATTTGTGCTTAGGCAAGCTCAGAGTTCTGCCTTTTTTAATTAAACTTTTTTAGATATGGACATTAATAGGTTAATGTCTCAGTGTTCACTATATCATGCACTGACAGTTGCTAACAGGGCTTGTTGTTTGTGGAAAAGTGTACAGTGTTGGAGGAGGTTGGTCCATTTTGTCCCGGCAGGGTGAAGGAAATTAAGCACAACGGCCGAGCAATGACAAGAATGAATTAAGATTGTGGAAATTGTTAATTAAATCTTACATTTACATTACACTTCAGTATGAATATCCTTATTACAACTGTGCATCCATGATGCTGTTAATGATTGTGCATGTATTTTCTGGCCAGCTGTAACCTTGATGAATGGGATTGCTTGGTGACGTTTATATAAACGTGTCCGGTTCAGACAGTACGTTCTCTCTCCATGCTGCTGCTTCTTGGATACTGGTGACGTTTTGATGATGTCAGACACACTTCACTAGAGGAAGTAGTCCATTAGTTGTGCTAGGAGTTCCTTTTTTCTGGTTGAGGTCTGCCACAGTTCTGTTTTCGCTTCTTCTTTTTTTTTTATCTGATGCTTATTTACAGTTTTTGAAGTTTCAACACTTTATACTCCCAAATGTCTTTATGGCATTTTACCAGAGAAACTGGTGTATTGCTGTAGGCACACAAGGTGTGACGCACATGCTGTCTTTTAGTTTCATAATGTGCATGTGTCACTGTGTGCATATTTGTCTATTTGTGTGTCTCAAAGAGAATTTAAAAGGCCCATGTCTTGCATTTTTCTTGCAATTTATTAATTTTTTTCTTGAAGTCCACTTTTTGCATTTAGATGTATGCCATTCATTATTAGATGACTATTTTCCAACTTCTGTTTTCCCTTAGAATCAAACAGCTGTTTAAGGACTGGGAACTGTGGAGTTCATGTTAACAGTGCTTACATACTCATTCAGACTTCTGAATTTAAAAAAAGAAAGGGAAGTTCAGTTTTCCATGAACTGTTCCCTTTTAGGGTGAGTGTCCTGTTTAACACAGAGCATCCGCTCTTGCCTTTGCACAGAAGCTGCATTCATCTCAGCTAGACCATCTTTAGTCTTCTAAGAACTATCCAAAACAAAGATCGAACATGCAGGAAACCTTTTTTGTTTCGTGGTAATCGCTAGAGATTGTACAATATTACTGTTTTTTTTCTCTGTTGCTGATACTGAAACCTACAGTATCGATCAATATTGATCCGATATTTATTTTTTTGTAATAGAAGCATTGCACCTAAAGCTGCACCATGTACAATTTTTTTATTAAAATTGAAAGAATTAGCATTACTGAGAAAAAAAAATGCTGAAATATGTTGGGCATGCACTGTTGCAAGGCACCCTGTAAAACCTGAAAATAATTTAAAAGTCAGTGACGTCGGGTTGTATTTGGTGGTAGTTTTTCACACCACATCGTATGTCTTTACAAATTAATGTCACATGCACAGTCTCAGAAGGTCTAGCTCGATGTTTAGATCTCAAGTGCAAAATCAACATTATACTGATGAAGACGTGATGACAATAGTAGACCATTCACATGCATCCTTAGAAGACACGACCTTCACCAAGAGTTTTCTTCGAATACTCTTTGAACATGCCCGTAATTATCAGATTCATACGCTTGGGGAAGGACTCTGAAGCACAACCAACAATACAAAATATTCCTCCACAAGTTGTGTGAAATTATACATTTCCACCAGAGAGGTCCCCAAATCCCCAAATCTTACATAGTGTAACTTTAAGACGAGCACCTAAAAGTAGGTTATCATGCTGAAACTACTCAAACCCTCTGCCATCCCACACAGCTAACAGCATCACATTATACAGAGTGAGTATGCACTGTTTTAGGCTAGATTTGTTAGAGGACTGGATCAGATTAATTCTTTTTTCCCTCTGATATCTAGCCCAACATTTTCAGCTGATCTCGGCCTGATGCTGATACCCATCGTTAAGGATAAACCATCTCTAGTAATGCATGTATTGTAAAAATACTAGATTAGAGAGCCCGTAAACAGCAGTAACCAAACTATAGTAACTATAGATATCAGCCTATTGTAAGATTTTTGATACTTTTTTCTATGGACAGTACTGTTGTGCTGCTGCATTTTGTCTGTTCCAGCTTCTCAGAAAAATGTAATATTGTGAAAAATATCATGAATCGTACAAAAGACTTAATGTTTGTGCCTTAATACCTACCATTAAAAGGCCCATGTCTCGAAAATTGTACTTTCCTCACTTTATTTCCAAAAAGAAAAAAAGACCTCTCACCAAGACATAGAGTCCATATGTGCCAAAACAGCTCATTTTGAATTCGTTGTTTCTGCGATGTAACAAAAAACAGTGCGTTTGTAAATATGCGCTTAGTCAGCCTACAGCAATTTATAGTTATAAGAAGTATTTCATCCCAGACTGCTTTTTGAAATAGGGGGCACCCATTAAGTACAGTGGTCATTTACATAGTCTTAAAGTCAAAGTCACATAAACAGGCTGAGGTTGGAAAATGGTCATGTAAAAATGTATTAGAACTGTTTCTGGTGCATGAAACCGCATCATAAGTAAATCTCAAGGAAAACATTAAATACAAGTGTAAGATATGGGCCTATAGCAGAGAGACTCTTATACTGTTTTGCTGCTCTAAGCATACTGAAACTATTTGCCAGGAAAATGCCTAAATCCCAAAATTACTCTTATGTCCGCAATCATGAAATCCCACTAGCAGTGGACTGACTGAAACAAGAACAGAGGGGGCTGCAGTGGAAATATTGGCTTATTGATTGCTGGTGAAAAGATAGAAAGGCAGACTTTTGGCGTGACTCAAATAGACCAAGAAAAAGAAAAACATTTCTAAAAGCTGACTTGCAGAAAAGGTTCCTGACACAGTTTCACAACAGCTCAACAGAGTATCATCGCTTAGATTTATAAAATTGCTGTTATTACAGGGCAGGCACTGTGGAACCTCTTGTAACCTGTGTTAGTGAAGAAACAGATGGGGTCATGATAGCATAACCTGGACTGTACAGAAAGAAATATAGGCACAATCCCATTTCTTCTTTTTACCCCTACCCCTTGCTTTCGAGTGTCACCCTAACCCCTTGGAACTGAGTTACAAGGGGTAGTGGTTGAAATCTTGCCCTACAGGATGGGACAGCCCTCAAAAAAAAAAAACATTACTTTTATTAATAGGCTACTAGCGGTGCTCTATAGGCAACCCAGCCCGTCTTCAGTGATAGCAGAGCAGAGTAAAGTTCAGCAACCTCACTGCTGGGCTTTAGTTACACTTAGGGCATCATATGCCTTCAAAGAGGGGGTATAAGACAATTATTTATTATCGCCCACTGATAATTCATTGGTGATACGAAGCTGAAGTCAGCTATTCACCAGCTTCTTTTTCACATTTTCCCATTTCACCTTAAATGGTGCA